CACATCAACACCCACACCCACCCACACCCACACTCACACCCACACCCACACTCACATCCACACACCCACACCCACACCCACACTCACACTCACACCCACACTCACATCCACACACCCACACCCACCCACACCCACACCCTATTATTCAATTCTACTTCTAAAATACCGTGTTGAAATACTCCGAGTTCTCCATGAATAAAATTATTTTGTGATCTATTTAAATCTGATCTATAAGATTGATGATTGACTTCATCATTTGATAACTAGGAAGAATATCAACAGCATTTCCATGTCAAGCGAAAAATGCTGCAGTTATTCCTGCAAGAAAAGTTTTCTTTCATCTGTACAAACTTATTCAAGAAGTAGTTTATCATTACTATGAACAAAAATTAGTAAAGCAACGTACATATTTTTCATAAGTATTTTGATAAGATTTAATTGATGTTGAATTTCTTCTTTTTCACATCCTTCCAGAATACTTGTTTTTCTGTTTCTTCAGCAGTTTGTTCACGAGTTTCTAATAAAAGACTATGAATTTTCTTTTTTTTCTGTTGTTGACTTATCATTTGATCAATACTTTCTTTTACTCAACGATCAGATTTGTTATTATTCGCAAAGCTACTTCAACAATAGAAAGAAACTTTTCTATAGTTATTGTTTCTTAATTAGGTGAAGAATTATTAGTTTTTAAATAAAATATTTGATTGATTTGATCAATATATTGACTAATAAACATATTATTAGATAAAAATAAAATTTTCTCATGTACTCTCATTAATGTATGACGAACTTTTTTGCAATTATATGTTCTATTATTAATGCTTTTAACCAATAGTCTTAAGAGTGTAGATATTGATATCCTTCTTTCTCACATCCACACTCTGAGCTGCTATCGAACTAGACCTATAATTTATTTAAATCTAATAGTGTAGGTCAAAAATATCTTTTATTCCACTGTTGTTTTAAATTATCTTGCTTCATCTATATTTGTTTCTATAGTTGACATCATCATTTCTCTGATTTTTGGGAAAAAATTACAAATGAAATAGAATAACCTTTCTAAAGATAGGACAGAATATATGATCTATAACAAAGAAAAATAAAGACAATTTTATGATCAATATCTCTAAATTTACATGATACTTTAACAAACCAGGACTTTTTATTACAGCAAAAGTAAAGAGTGTTACAATATAAATATGAATAATATTTTTCCTTTTTAATAAATTGAATAGAAATCTTGATATAACTTATCAATAACATCATAATAGATTTAGTATTATGGATATGGTTTCAGTTCTAAATAACAGTATAATAGATAATGCTAAAGCACTTTCAATAATGACCAAAATATCAAGACTACTATTCAATTAATTAAAAAGAAAAAACATTATTCATCTTTATAACTTGTTCACCAACATTTTCATACATTTTCTATTCTACTTTTCGACAAGTTTCTTTCTTCACGCACATTTTATCATCTCTTACCATATGTTATATAAAATAAATATAAAAATGTGTTTTGGACCTAGCTGTATGATCGACACTTCTATTGTGATTTCAGATTTTAATCTTATAAGAATTTTACTAATCAGTTTTGGCATAGGATTCGTTAAACTAATTGAAAAATTTAAATAGTTCAATCTTATAATTAATGTGTAAGTTATATGATGATAGATACTTCAAATTGTTTATAATATAAATGTTTGAAAATGATTTATTGTTATTCTCTAAATATAAAGAAACACAATGAGTAATTTCTCTTCTTAATAGGTGAATATTTCTATCGTTCTTCTTTGTCTCCAACAAAAGTATATTTTATTACTGAATATTATTATTAAAACAGTTGTTTGGTTTAAGATTGTCTTTTAAAATCAATAATTACCTAAAGTTATTCGATAGAAATAATGAGAAGACTCTATTTTGTTAAATATGACCAAGGAGCAGATGAAAGGACAACAATACTTGCTTAACAAGGTAAAAAGTTAACGATGTCATAGCATAATTATTCATAGATTATTTGTACCTGAAACATATTTACTAATTGATCTTTATTTTCAAAATAAAATCGTGATATATATGTGTAATTTTAAATATACACATCAAATCAACAGAAAATAAGCAAGAAGAAACTTTCAGACGTGAATTTTTTTATACGACTATATTGAGTCAATATGTTATTTTAAGTAACAATCGAGAAATTTTTCGTTTTGTCTCCGTATTTGTCAGACAACAACAACTGCAACATCATTTTATATAAGTGAACATAATCAAATCCGTTTTTATTCCTTGATTAAAATCGAGAAATATTCATCGGTACTCGGTACATTTATTTAATCGATTATGACTAAGTATAATCAGTTTTTAGTCAATTAAAAAAATCTATTATAACTGTATAGTAATAATCGGCTTTTAATCGAAATGTAATTGATTTTCATCAGATTTTTCTCTTATTTTTTTGTACATGAGAAACATCTTCCGTTCTAATCTAAAAACCATAACAAGGGAAACTTCAAAAGAAAAACAGTTAACAGAGAAAAATATCCATTAGATAAAACGTAATCCGAAGATGACTTACCAATGCATATTATCGTTCGGCTTTGATCGAACTATCTACCTGAACAAAAAAGAAAAACTTATAGTAAGAACAGAAAATAGATTATCATTAGCAATAACAATAATCGTTGCAATTCGTTTTGCGACAATAATAATTTAACTGCGTAAGAACAAGAAACACTTTCGATCATGATACGATCTTATCTCTAGTTATGATTATGACGGCAAGTTGAATAAGAAAAACATGACTCATTGTGTAACTCATGTAAGCTGTGTTTGATAGACTGTAGTTGTGCATGGGTGAAGGTAATACTCACGCCAACACACATATTCCACGCCTACCCATATGGTAGTTCCGGCGAGAGAAAAATAATTATTGCGTCTGTTCCTCAAGAACTGAATGACTTAGCAAATGTCTACAATGTTTAAAATTTATTTCTCAATTTTCATAAAAATGAATAACAAATAATATAATAAGATCTGTAATAATTTTAGGAATAGTATGAAATTTTGTTATTGGTTAATACATCAGAATTATTAGCCCGATCAGTTTTTTTGAGTTACGTAGTTGCAATTGTTTCACTTTGTGACTACAATTTTATCGCCAACTTTTATTTGTTTACGTGCTTCTGGTCCAACAACAATGCAACCCTCTGATGCTGAGTAATCGCCTTTCTTATTATCGCCATGAATTAAAAAGCCATTTCTGCCATGCATCTTATTCGATGCAGCTGGTGTTAGCACCAATGTCGTAGGACCTTTGGAAGTATTTGTGCTGGTGACTGTGTATTCACCTTTAGGAATCGGACCAACAAATGCTACCGATTCTTTATCAGGATTATTTAAACCCTCTCCATTACCAGAATAGCCAGTATACGAAGTACCATCAGAAGTAATAAATTTCCCTGTCGATTGAGAATAAGTAGCCAGTTCGTCCGAAGCGTGAAAATATCTACACGATCAATAAAGACAAACAATAAATAAAATTTGTTTGTATAAAGGACAGCCCTCTCCTTTCCGACACCTTCGAAAAACATCTCATCCGAATAAAATTTGTAACTCTCAAATCAGATTGATCTCAAGTTGTACCTCAAAAGCCTTGATAAGGTCTAATTTTCCCCACATTTCCTTCTGTGGGAAATTTGGTTACGAAAGGTAAAAAATGTTTCGAGTTTTCGCCTCTCATTTTTTCGAGCGACTCTGTTCGATCGAGCTGAGACGCTTTATTTCCAATTGAAGGCTTTTATAACTCATTGAATACGATATATCTGACAAAAGCGAAGCGAGATAATAATCCTAAAAGTAACCCGCAGCGAGAAAAAGCTCCCTTATCGACAGTGTACAATATACACTTGATTCACTCTCGGAAAATTGACAAAAGAAAACTTTTCATGTTGGATGAAAGAGTGAGTGCCAGTGAAATGACAGTATTATATTGATATTTATATCAAGAGAACTTCTATTGACAGAGGAGAGTGCGTCTAAACATATTGATTTTCATCTCATTTACTTTCCCTCAAAATAATTTATTTTGAAGAAGAAAAAAACTTTTAATTTTAAAGCGTTCTCTTCCTTCAATGAAAGATTTCTTTACCCAAATAGGGTGTGGGTGTGGATGTGAGTAAATAGATGACCATCACCCACACCATAAATATTACAATAAAATCATGGAATCAATGGATTGCATAAGAGAAAAAAATGATAGGATTATAAGTCAAAAAGCTGATAAGAAGATCAGTAGGGTAAATGTGAATTCGAGTTGTAAGAGAAAGGCAGAAAAACGAACGATGAAAAAACCAACCATTATAGAACAGACGGTGTTAAGAGTCATATATTACATGGCCTTTTGTGTAAAATGACAAAAAGCATGAAAAAGATAAGAAATGAAAGCAACGCACAAGATTTTCATCCTTGGTAAAAAGACTATCTGAAGAGTGAGTCATATAGGGTGTAGGTGTGGGTTAAGATAAGCACTGTATTCACAAACTCACCTCCACCCTCACACACATCTTTCAATTCTATTGCACAATCAAGTAGAAAATCGATGAGTACTCAAATAGACTAAGAAAAACATCTGTGTATTGTTGTAAAAGAGATCAAAAACCGTATCCTCAAGTGATACAATTTGTCAGACGATATTTATTCTCAAAAAGTGAATGAAAGTCACAACGGACGTGTATCTCTTCCTTTTCTCTGAATTAGAAAGCGATAAAATAATGACGCATGCTTTACAATGCAACATTCTTTGCCAACTTCATCAAACATAGAAATTTCTTTAAAAAAGTTACAACGCAATTAAGTTTTTCTAAAAGCCTAGTTCGATTATCATAACAATATATTAATCGAAGTTCGTCATCGATTTCTTATCATCTAGATAAATCGTATCAATGTGAAGCCAAGTGAAATTATTCAAACATAAGATTTCACCGCACAATCTAATCTACACAGAAACTGCTGTCGTATAAGTTAGTAACAATATAAAGAACAATTAATCATGTCACAAACAGACATTCCAAAACAAGAATTTATGATTGAAAAGAAAAAATATTCTTTAAATGAAACAGAATTAATGTGCAAAGTTTGAATAAATTGTCTTAGCCAATGACCACATTTTACACCAATTTATGAATCAATGGCATCTGCTAATTGATTCTCATATAATGTAAATTATCGAGTTATCTCTACATATTCTAATAGAATTCGTCATGAGTGGACACTGAATAATGATCCAACTCTGACGTTCATATTCGATAAAAACTTTGAATCATCCCATTCGGAAATGACTCTAATCTCTTGTCGAGAAGCCAGAATTTCTAGTACTACTTGGAACTTTTTATTGTAATAGTTCAGTACTCAAATAGAATCCAAATGAAAACTCTTTGATTGTGTATGATCAATGGTTTCATTATTGTACTTATGCTAAACATATATCGGACCATCAATTATATAGGAAAATTCAAAGAGAAAAAATGAATCTTAACTTGATCGTTTGATTCTAACGAGTCTTGATGTATCTGTTGTTGAACGTTTTCGTTTCCAATATCCATGGGCACTTATTAAACTTTTTTTTCTTCAGAATCGATGGAAAATATTAAAAAATGATGTTTTTAACGTATAAGGCTTGTAAATAAATATGTGC